CGGGCGCCGGCTCCTGCCCCCCCCAGCGGGGCAAGCCGCCCTCCCCTCCCTGGCCTCCTCCTCCTCCGTGTCCTTGACCCCCAGCTGCCCTTGCTCCGGCTGCCTCCGGCACGCGGCCCCAGGCTCCCCAGCTGCAGCCCCCCGGCCCAGCCGCTCCGCCGCTGCTTGGCTCTGGCCCAGCGGTGCCCCGGCCCCGGCCCCCCGGAGCCCATCTGGGCAGCAGGCACGGGGGCACCTCCGGGCGATGCTGCCAGGCCTGGGGGCAGCGAGGCCTGAGCCCCAGGCAGGGATCCCCGGTGTGCACAAAGCGGTCGTCCCGTGTGCCGCGTGCCCTGCCCTCGAGCCCGGCGCCCCGAGCAGGGAGGGGGGCACGGCTTAGGGCCCCAGGGAGCCCAGTTCCCCGACCGGAGGCCGCGGGCGGGACAGCTCGTTATCCTCCCGCCTCGTCAGTGCCAAGGGGGGAGAGTGGGCCGCTTGCCCGCCTGGGGGACGCGCCGAGCTGAGCGAGCCGCCCGCCTAGCAGATAAGGAGGGAGCGCGGCAGGGAGCGCACAGCTGCCGGGGAGACGCCAGAGCTGGGGCATGGCCGAGAGCGCGGCCGCGGGGAGATGGAGCGCTGCCCAGGGCCGAGAGAGGTGCCGGCCCGCGTCTCCCCCGGCCGGCACGGCCAGGGGGCTCCCAGGCCGGAGGAGAGGTGGCCAAGCCAGGGCTGGCAGGAGCTGGGGCGCTGGCAAAGCAGCTGCCCTGCGCCTTGGGGCTGTCCCGGCCTCCGTGAGGGTAAGGACCAGGGTGCGGGGCGCTCCGGATGGGGTCCTGGGCAAGAGCTGGCCCGCGGCAGGGCCCAATTGCTCCGGCAGGGGGCGCTGCGGGACTGGGGCAGGAGCCGGCTGAGAGGGGACAAGGATCGGGCCCACCGCAGCCTGCTCCCTGGATGGGGGTCCAGCGCCTGCACCAGCCAGTCCAGGACGGGGTCCGTGCCGGTGCCACGTGAAGCACGCGTGCCGGGCCCCACGTGCAGCACGGGGGTCAGCTGGAGACCCAGGGCCAGCGCTGGCCGCCAGGGAATGGGGTGCACCACGGGGGGCCCTGCGACACCTCGAGTTGAGAGACCCGAGTGTGCCCATGTCGGGGGGGAAAGTGGCATCGGGAGCCGTGGAGCAGGGCGAGGGGCACGGCCTCTGTGTCAGACCCGCCTGGGCCCTCTGCCGGAGGCCGCAGGGTCGAGGGGCAGGGGACCCGGCGCTCCTGCCAGCCCCCGGAGCGCGAAGGGCCTGGGGTCC